TCGCCTTTTTTGAAGGCCAGGCAGCAGACACAGCGGACCACGTGCTACAGTATAACTTATGTTACCTGAGCATTACGCATCACCAGTTGATGAATTAGCATTAATTGGAACATCTACGACAGATTATTTGGGCTACACACTGCGTCAAAACTTCGGTCATTCAAATATCCGAAAGCTTATTTTCAGGATCAAGTTGTTCGTTACCAAATAAAGTGACTGCACGGCAACGCGACGGTGGCCTTCAATAGATCAGGAAGCGGAAAAGGTTGCTTGAAGCGTAAATGAAGACACCTGAATGAAATGGCTTCCATTCCGCAAAGTGACAACGATGTGAGCGACTGTTGATGATGGCAAAGTGCGTTTGGTAAAGTAGAATAGACGTTCTGAATAGAGTGGATGAATGGAAGCACCTTCACATGACCGAGTGAATTATCATAGCAGTAGTCTGTTAACACCATGGTAATTATTTCAAATTTCGTAAATTTTTTGATTAATTTGTCATTTCTGTTCTTGTTTATTATTTTCCTTACGGGTGTTATTTTAATTACGCAATCATTACGGATTGACGGAGATCCTGGCGCAGGAAAGGGCGAATTACCCTTAATGAATCTATTTGCAGATGCACCGCTATATTTCGCGATATATACCAGTTGCTACGCCATGGTCAGCTCCGGGCTGCTTTCCTCAAATCCGCTGAGTTATTCAACAAACTGACTAACCTGACAGTCAGCATGAGGTGTAGCAATGTTGTTCTTGCAGATCTCCCATAAGTATGCTTGGGAGCACTGCAAGGAATATCCTGTTATCCGTTTTAGGATTGTCTTCTTATCAAGTAGATAATCATATGCCGATTGACTCATTTGCACAGTAGCTCTATGAAACATACGGTCCCTCCTTTCCGTTGGTTGGTTGCATCACGCAGGGATTCATCATTTTTATTGGGTAAAAGGCCTTGAGTTACTTTTTCGAGCGTTGCTAATGCCTCTGATTCTGACTGTTCTATTTTATATTTACTTACTAGTTTAACAGTTTCAACTTATTATCGCGTTTTCCCTGACTCTGTCAGTTCTGATTTGTACAGTATTGATTCTCTGAGTCCGTTTTGATATACATTTAAGAGTAAAATCGCAGGATAAATCGTTCGTTGCATTACATATCATGGACTTGTACACTTAATTCCAGTTACCCTTATAATTATTGGTCATATAAAATACCAACTTCACATATGTGCGTTTATTGATGTGTTTTTTTCGACAGAGTGTCAAAGGATTTGATCTTTAAGCTAAATTTTGCTGGCTATTGATCGAAATGATAAGCGGCGCGACACTTCTGACCAGCTGCACCAGCGACGTCAATTGGAAAGCGGAAGGCCGAAGCGGCATTTACCATGGGCAGTTAAGAAACACGGTGTAACTCATTTTTCAGTATGGGCGATTGCTACGTCGAATTAACAACTGCTGCGAAAAGGAATCTCGTGATCCGCAGCTCTATGATTGATGTTTATTCTTCTGCTGTTTCGGTTGCGCCATTCTGAAATAGGAGTTCCTTTCGAAGACCATTGAATTCATAGAAT